AAAAGGTATGCTATTCACTCTGATTTTATTAAATAAAACACATCAATACTATTAGCTGTGGTTAGGGCAGTCGGAGGCAAATCCCTCGAGAAAGATGAAAAACACATATCAGAGCTCAATTGGAAGGATCAGAGCTCAAAGAAGAGACAGAGAAAGAAACATGAAGAAAATCACAGTCAATAGCATACCTCAAGATCAATAACACAGAGAGAGTAAGAGCTCTTTGCTTCAAGAGTTCAAGAACAAACACAGAGATCAATAACACAGAGAGAATAAGAGCTCTTTGCTTCAAAAGCTCAAGAACGAATACAGATATCAATAACACAGAGAGAATAAGAGTCAATAGCATACCTCAAGATCAATAATAGCAAGGATCAGAGTTTAAGAGCAGCTGAGTAAACCCTAGCGAGGGCTGCGTGCGACGATAAGAGTCTGCCTGAAATAGTGGCGTGCTGCAAAGAGAGGGCTGGCTCAGCGGATGAACGCGAATAACAGAAGAGAGGGGTCGTACTGCGAAGAGAGGGGTGCTCAGAGGTTGAAGATGGGAGAAGAGAAGAATAATAACTAGGGTTCGGGGGTGAAGTTCTAAAACGAAGTTTCAATTTTAAGTTCCGACGTCGCAATCTTTCACGTTTATCAAATAGAAGGTACTTCTTATTAAATAGAAGTTCTTATTAAACGAAATTTATCAAATAGAAGGTACTTCTTATTATCAAACACGTCTTAAGTACACACTGCAAAAATCAGATATAGAGTTTTATAGCTCAAAAAAAAAAAAAGGATAAAAAAAAAAAAGAAGTGTTTTCTTTAAGAAATCGATCATGTCTTGATTTGACGCTGCTCATCCAAGAGGCCCATGTATTTCACAACCCGAAATCCAAAATCCACAACCCAATCAGCACAACCACTTTTCAGTGTGCACATATCAAAAATAAGGTCTGGGGTTTTATATCTCAAAAAAATGATATTTTTACAAAAGAAACACCGATTTCCTGATTTAAGGTTGATCCAGAAGATTTTTCTTTAAAAAGCCAGGAAGCTCATGAAACCCACAACTCAAAAATTCCAAAATAAAAAATCCCAATCCATTTTCTTTTTTTTCAGAAAGGCAGAATCCATTCTTTGCGACCCAAATTTTAGCAAACTGTAAAATCAGTATTAGAACATGATTTCCTGATTTAGGGCTCATCCAAAAAATTTGCAACGTTTCATTAATCAGGACCTAATTGAATGCGCAAACTGAAAATAAATAAAGGGGAAAAAAGAAAACCCAGTCTCTAAAATGTAAATTCTTCCAGGAAAAACCCATTTAAAATATGATAGCTGCAAAAAAAAAAAAAACAGACAAACTGATTGCGAGTTGTTTGTCTTGCTCTTTGATTTGTTATTCAAATAACTCTTGAGCCTTCTACGACTCTTTAGCCATTTGTAAATCTTGAATAGAGAGAGAATGAACGCGCGGGAGATTGGAAAGGCTTTTTTCCCTCTCTAAACCAATTAAGAGATCTCCACCGTCCATTTTTTGGAATTTGAATGGACGATGGCTGCAGCATCAGTGGTTGGACTTTTGGAGGCTACCGTTTGCTCGGGCGTCCAAAAGGTCCCTTCCTATTAAAAAGCCTATTTATTTGTGAAAAAAGTTTATATAGAGTTGATATCTTATTGTACCACTAGTTTTTTTTGGAAAAAAATGAGGTAATTTAATTTTGGCAAGCTTTTTATGTCTTTTTTTATAGCATAGAAGTTTTATCCCCTACCTTATCCAACTGTCCATTCTGAATGAATGATTAAGATTAACCCAATCACAATATCACGTCTCTACACTATTTTATTTTTAATTTTCTTTCTATAAACTATTTTCATACCAAATTTTGAAGTCCATTCTTCTATTAAACTCACACTAACAAAAATATATAAAAAAAATATTTTCAATAAAATAAAATTATCAAAATACCCTTGTAAACTTTAAAGGGTATTTTGGTTATTATATTTTATCGAAAAAATGTTTTTAATATTTTTTATAGGTGTGCCCTAATGAGAAGATGGCAAGTACCAAATTTCATATTCATACAATTTGTATAAAAAAACTAAAAATATAATACTTTGAAACGTCGGATCTAATATCGAATGGTGAGTGGCTCTCTTGATCAAAATTAGACAGCTGGATAGTAGGGGGATGATAGAACTTATATGTTTTAGGGAAAGCATAGAAACATTTCCTATTTAATTTTTGAAAGCATCTAATTGATCATCTCGATATTGTGATGTATAAATCATTATCATCATCATCGAAATCTTTTGTTCTAATTAATTGAGGTCGGCTTCACAAATTATGGTATGTCAATCTGTTTTATTAAGAGCCACTCTTACGGAGGCTATAAGTACTTGTATGTTTATCACTACTTCCAACTATTTCATTACGGGCCTACTATTGAGATGTGTATATAGGGAGAAAAAAAGAAATTTCAAATCCTAATATCTTGTAATACTTTATCTGGATTGTTCATTTTCAAAATTTACATACATTTATATATCTGCCTGATTTGAACCAGTTTTTTAGTTAAAGTTTAGAATTACAGATAAAAATGGATTCTTACACCATCATAAGAAATTTCGACACTAAAATTACATCTCGTGATAGAGTTTGGAGGTACACCTAAAAGAAGAAAAAAATTTATTTCTCATTAAAAAAGTCATATGAAAAATAATCTATGATGAATTTCCCGACATTTAAAAGGGTATTTATTGGTGACTTTGTGGTGTTCTCCCACCAATATTAACAAGCCCTAGACCCATTTTATTGCTGAACCCTATCAGAGCCCTTAGAAAACGGAATTTCCTTCTCTCACATATAAGAGAGACAGAACATAAGAAAATGGACACTCGGAGGATTAGTTTGCACTTTGCAATTTTGTATAGATAAAAAGAGATTGCAATAACGAGAGCAAAATACCAATTAAATGATAAAAACCACAAAATCATCAAGGTCGTCATTATATTATATTTAACACTAATACAAATAGTGTTGCATTTAAAATTTTTAAAGATAACTTAATTGCCTCTATTTAAGATTGAGACCCCAACAAGCAAAAAAATATATTTATATGATTTAGCTCCACTTAAGTGGACCGCATGGACTGACAAAAATCCCTAATCCTTCGGGGTTACAAAAATAGAATAGTAATTTACAACTCATAAAAAGTGATTTCCATGAAACTAATATTGAATGACTATGAGTATTTTTATTTGACAAATTCTTATTGCTAACCCTAGACAATCAAGGGTATTTACATAATCTGATTCATATGACCAATAAAGCATAAATTTACCAAAATATCTATGATTATTCAAATTCCCAATGTTGAAAGGAAAAATTTAGTTTTTATTACCATATTTTCTGAATAGAAACTTGAGTTGCATGAAATTTAAAAAACCAACACTCCTGATGTTAGATAGAATGATTTTACCTTCATATTGATATTTTTCTGTTTATACGCTTGAAAATATAAGCAGATCAAATGTAACCTCCATTTCATTTGCGAACCTAAACACGTCAAGAGATGGTAGTAAATGATGGACCCCAGCAAATTGTGGTCCAAGCATAAGACTGGCCACAGCCGCATCCAAACATACCACTAGCAGTGCTTCTAAGACAACTAAATTGGAAACTCACTATAAAATTTGGAAATGGGATTTTTTGAGAAAAAAGGGGAGGAATCCATTAAAAGATATTCAAAATATAATAAATTGAAGTAATGACAAATAAAAGAGGGATGTATCTTAAGTCAATCCCCGATGCCCAACACCCAGAGTTGGTGCCAGCCACTATTTATAAATGGATGTAACCCTAAATCATCATCTAGAATATGAGATTCGATCTAGGTCATTTATCGTGAACGACCCTAGTGGTCTCTCCAATGACGACACCCATTGCTTTAGGCGTTTTTGCCATTAAAATATGGAAAACATTTATATAGGGATGCTACCTTATAATGTAGAACTACGGATGCCCTAAAAAATCCACCGGAAAAGGTAGTTTTAATGTTGAAATTTGATTGATGATCTCGACATCGAGATTTATGACTGTGAAAAATAAAAATATTTTAAGTCTCATAAATAGTGCATTTTATGACATATTATCTACACCGTCCATTTTCTAGATTTTCATATGTATATAGATCTACTTGATTTTAACCATGTTTTAAATTTTAAATTTTATTACTAGTTATTAAAATCGATTTTGAAATAATCCTAAGAACATTTTACATCAAAATATTGAATAACTATAAGTATTTTCATTTGACAATTTCTTATTGCTAACCCAAAACAATCAAGGGTATTTCCATATTTTAACTCATATGACAAATAAAACATAAATTGCCTAAATACCCATGATTATTCAAATTCCCAATGTTGAAAGGACAAATTTAGTTTTTTATTAGTATATTTTCTAAATAGATACTTGAGTTGCATGAAATTTAAAAAAACAATACTCCTGATGTTAAATAGAATGATTTTACCTTCATATTGAAATTTTCATGTTTATAAGCTTGAAAATATAAGCAAATCAAATGTAACCTCCATTTCATTTTTGAACCTAAACACGTCAAGAGATGGGTAGTAAATAATGGACCCCATCAAATTGTGGTCCAAGCATAAGACTGGCCACAAGACCACATCCAAATATACCACTTGCAGTGCCAGCTTCTAAGATAACTAAATTGGAAACTCACTAGAAAATTTGGAAATGGGATTTTATGAGAAAAATGGGGAGGAATTTGTAAAAGATAGTCAAAATAGAAGAAATAGAAATAATGAAGAAGAAAAGAGAGACGTATCTTAAGTCAGTCCCCCATGCCCAACACCCAGAGCCGGTGCCAGCCATTATTTATAAATGAATGTAGCCTTAAATCATCATCTAGAATATGAGATTCAATCTAGGTCATTTATCGTGAACGGCCTTGGTGGTCTTTCCAACGACGCCACCCATAGCATTAAGTTTTTCTGCCATTAAAATATGGAAAACATTTATATAAGGATGCTACCTTATAATGTAGAACTACGGATGACCCTCAAAAATCCATCGGAGAAGGTAGTTTTAATGTTGAAAAACCCTTTGATTGATCATCAAGATGTACGACTAAAAAAAATAAAAAGATTTTAAGTTCATAAATAGTGCATTTTACAACATATTATCTACACCTTCCATTTTCAAGATTTTCATACGTTTATATATCTACTTGATTTTAAATATTTTTGAAATTTAAAATTTTATAATTAAATATTAAAATAGAATTTGAGATAATCCTAAGAACATTTTACATCAAAATATTGAATAGCTATGAGTATTTTCAATTGACAATTTCTTATTGCTAACCCTAAACAATCAAAGGTATTTCCATAATCTGACTCATATGACCAATAAAGAATAATTTACCAAAATACCGATGATTATTCAAATTCCCAATGTTGAAATGACAAATTTAGTTTTTTTATTATCATATTTTCTGAATAGATACATGAGTTGCATGAAATCTTAAAAAACAATACTCCTAATGTTAAATAGAATGATTTGACCTTCATATTGATAGTTTTCTATTTATAAGCGTGAAAATATAAGCAGATCAAATGTAACCTCCATTTCATTTTCGGACCTAAACACGTCAAGAGATGGGTAGTAAATAATGGACCCCATTAAATTGTGGTCCAAGCATAAGACTGGACACACGATCGCATCCAAACATACCACTAGCAGTGCCAGCTTCTAAGACAACTAAATTGTAAACTCACTAGAAATTTTGGAAATGGAATTTCCTAAGAAAAAAGGGGAGGAATTCATAAAAGATATTCAAAATAGAAGAAATTGAAATAATGAAAAAGAAAAGAGGGATGTATCTTAAGTCAGTCCCCCGTGCCTACACCCAGAGCTAGTGCCAACCACTATTTATAAATGGATGGAACCCTAAATCATCATGTAGAGTATGAGATTCGATCTAGGTTATTTATCGTGAACGGCCTTGGTGGTCTCTCCAACGACGCCACTTGCAACGTTAGGTTTTTCTGCCATTAAAATATGGAAAATGTTTTATAAGTATGCTACGTATAATGTAGAACTACGGATGCCCCTCAAAAATCTTTTGGAAAAGGTAGTTTTAATGTTGAAAAACCCTTTGATTGATCATCTTGGCATTGAGATGTATGACAATGAAAAATAAAAAGATTTTAAGTCTCATAAATAGTGCATCTTACAGCATATTATCTACACCGTCCATTTTCAAGATTTTCATATGTTTATAGATCTACTTGATTTTAACCATTTTTTAAATTTAAAATTTTATAATTGAATATTAAAATAGATTTTGAGATAATCCTTAGAACATTTTACATCAAAATATTGAATAAATATGAGTATTCTCATTTGACAATTTCTTATTGCTAACCCTAAACAATCAAGGGTATCACCATAATTTGACTCATATGACCAATAAAGCATAATTTACCAAAATACCCATGATTATTCAAATTCCCAATGTTGAAATGACAAATTTAGTTTTTTTTATTATCATATTTTCTGGATAGATACTTGAGTTGCATGAAATTTTTAAAAACAATACTCCCGATGTTAAATAGAATGATTTGACCTTCATATTGATATTTTTCTATTTATAAGCTTGAAAATATAAGCATATCAAATGTAACCTCCAATTCATTTCGAACCTAAACACGTCAAGAGATAGGTAGTAAATAATGGAACCCCATCAAATTGTAGTCCAAGCATAAGACTGGACACAATATCGTATCCAAACATACTGCTAGTAGTGCCAGCTTCTAAGACAACTAAATTGGAAACTCACTAGAAAATTTGGAAATGGGATTTCCTGAGAAAAAAGGGGAGGAATTCATAAAAGATATTCAAAATAGAAGAAATTGAAATAATGAAAAAGAAAAGAGGGATGTATCTTATGTCAGTCCCCCACGCTTAACATCCAGAGCCGGTGCCAGCCACTATTTATAAATGGATAGAACCCTAAATCATCATCTAAAGTGTGAGATTTGATCTAGGCCATTTATCGTGAACGGCCCTGGTGGTCTCTCCAACAACGCCACATACAACGTTAGGTTTTTCTACCATTAAAATATGGAAAATGTTTTATAAGGATGCTACGTTATAATGTAGAACTACAGATGCCCCTAAAAAATCTATTGGAAAATGTAGTTTTAATGTTGAAAAACCCTTTGATTTATCATCTTGACATCGAGATGTACGACTATGAAAAATAAAAAGATTTTAAGTCTCATAAATAGTGCATTTTACAACATATTATCTACACCTTCCATTTTCAAGATTTTCATACGTTTATATATCTACTTGATTTTAAATATTTTTGAAATTTAAAAATTTATAATTAAATATTAAAATAGAATTTGAGATAATCCTAAGAACATTTTACATCAAAATATTGAATAACTATGAGTATTTTCATTTGACAATTTCTTATTGCTAGCCCAAAACAATCAAGGGTATCTCCATAATCTGACTCATATGACCAATAAAGCATATATTACCAAAATACCAATGATTATTCAAAATCCCAATGTTGAAATGACAAATTTTGACAAATTTAGTTTTTTTATTATCATAATTTGTTAATAGATACTTGAGTTGCGTGAAATTTTAAAAAAACAGCACTCTTGATGTTAAATAGAATGATTTGACCTTCATATTGGTATTTTTATGTTTATATGCTTGAAAATATAAGCAGATCAAATGTAACCTCCATTTCATTTTTTGAACCTAAACACGTCAAGAGATGGGTAGTAAATAATGGACCCCATCAAATTGTGGTCCAAGCATAAGACTAGCCACAAGACCGCATCCAAACATACCACTAGCAGTGCCAGCTTCTAAGACAACTAAATTGGAAACTCACTAGAAAATTTGGAAATGGGATTTTATGAGAAAAAAGGGGAGGAATTCATAAAATATATTCAAAATAGAAACAATGAAAAAGAAAAAAGGGACGTATCTTACGTCAGTCCCCCATGCCCAACACCCAGAGCCGGTGCCAGCCACTATTTATAAACAGGTGTAACCCTAAATCATCATCTAGAATATAAGATTCGATCTATGTCATTTATCATGAACGACCTTAGTGGTTTCTTCAACGACGCCACCCACGACATTAGGTTTTTCTGCTATTAAAATATGAAAAACATTTATAGAAGGATGCTACCTTATAATGTAGAACTATGGATGCCCTTAAAAAATCAATCGGAAAAGGTAGTTTTAATGTTGAAAAACCCTTTAATTGATCATCTCAACACCGAGATGTATGACTATGTAAAATAAAAAGATTTTAAGTCTCATTAATAGTGCATTTTACAACATATTATCTACACCGTCTATTTTCAAGCTTTTCATATGTTTATAGATCTACCTGATTTTAACAATATTTTAATTTTATTTATTTTTAATTAGATATTAAAATAGAATTTGAGATAATCCTAATAACATTTTACATCAAAATTATATACCATGGTAAAATTTGAAGCTGCACCTCACCTCTACACCTACGGATGCATCCGTATGCAATCTGCACCCTTCAAATGTTACACAATACAGATGCCAGTGGTGACGTTGGTTTGGCATGATTATGAGCTGCGTAATACGCTACCGCTCGATTTACGATTGACGTGAAATTGGGCGGTGGCGTGTCAGATGACTCAACATCCCCACCAATGTCGTTAGCGTTATTGCTGGCATCTTCAAGTTCAAAGTTAGTATGACGTGGCTAGATGCCTTGTTGGTGAGGGCACCCAGGTCATCTAGGCAATAATGATTACTCTCCGACACAATTATGGGCATCTCGAGATCTGACGGTGGGCGGTGATTCTAGCTAATGAAAAACTAATGTTACTAGCGCAATCATTCATCAATGGCACCCTCATCTCCCATATAATGATGGTTACATTTCATCGCGGTTTGAGCATTCCGATGTCAGGCGATTGGCGGCACTTTGAGCCAACGAAGCTACCCCCATCGCTGAGTGCAATCATGACCTCCTGCAGCCATAATTTGAGGGTGTCAATTTTGTGACTTGAGCCATCACACTATGGCCGTTGCTTGTCCTATCATTGATGTTATGACCCGCAGCATGTGGGTTCGTTGAATTCAGGCTCGTTCACCATCGATTTTGAATGGTTTGTTCTCGGGGATGTGGGCTCATGATGGACCAAATAGGGTAGTATAAGTCTTAGGGTACTAGTTTTGAGACTCTTGGTGGTTATAGGGCATGCTCCGGGGTTCTTCAGTTTCCTACAATTCCCTCAATCAAGATCAGGGTGTCTACATTTTCTAAAAAGATTTTTTATGCTTTTTCCAAAAAAAAAAGTACCAAAAGTCCACAAGCTAGTGACGCAACCGAGAGAGTGAAATTGGAGGGACAAACATTGTGCATAGAGATGCAAATAGATGCAAAGAGATATAAATAGAAGAATGTGTTCCCATACTAAAGAAATCCACATTCTTGAGTTGTGCACAAAACACGAGAGAACAACTCAATATGGCACATAAACATGAACCCACATAGAAGAGAAAAAAATAGATATAAGGATTGTCTACAAGAAGACTTTTTTTTTTTGTACATGGTAGCGACAATCATTCCTACTAATTAGATGTCAAATTCGATGGTTTGGGGTGAATCACGAATTATAAGAGTTTTTTTTTGGAACTGTCTATTCGATGACATTCTTACATCTACCAATTTTGAAATTTAAGGGACCTTAATAGTTGTGACATTTATTTACAAAAAAAAAAAACAAAAAAAAATGATCTCTATGTAGATACTCCCTTATTTAAAATAAAAAATTAGCTCAAAATCAGGTAGGATCTCGGACCATGAGCCAAGTCTAATAGACTCAGCTAAATATTATAAAAAAATTATAACAAAATATTTTTTGGTTGGCTCCCATATGGTTGACTTTAACATTGGCACTCCGCAAAGTATGAGTAAATCAGAAGAGTCCAAGTCCGCAAACTTACATCATGAAACAAGTTTAGAGCTGGTTGTTTCATATAAAACGTACAGTTACACATGTTTGGTTTGTGTGAATTCCATGAAAACTCATTCCGTTGGAAAAGAATTTATCAATCTGGGCCGTAAATCATGGGAAAACAAATTCCCATCTCACAAGGTGGGTAACAGTAAAAATAGAAAAGCGTTTTGGGTGATAATAAAAAACAAAACAGCGCCGCTCTCAAAACCTCACTACTCTCTCTCTCTCTCACCTCCCTAAGTCTGCTCTTTCTTCTCCCCCGTTATTTTGCTCTCTCTCAAACGAGAATCACTTTCGAAGTCTCAGCATCTTTAACGTTCTCCATCTTTTTCAACATCTTTAATATTCTCCATCTTTTTCAACAAGGTAAGTTTTCTTTCGTTTACTTTTTTTTTTTTGCTGGTTCTCCTTTTATTTTTGGGATTGTATACAATGAAACCATTTACCTTTCATACAAAGGTGGTCACAACTACTTACGAACGTTCGATATGAATTTTGATGGCTTGAATAGATTACAAAGTTCAAGAATTTATTTTTATAAATTTGAACTTGGTAATGAAATAATTGCAGCTACCCAATTTCACATCCGATGGTCAAATTAATGTGATCACCTTGTACCAAAGGTAAATGGTCTCATTCGATACTTTTTCTTTTCGCTCGTTTTTCTTGTATTTTTTTGTTGGAGATAAATCATATGAGGCTGTTGATGACTCCATGAGATTGATGGTGTGTTCTATTTGATCTGCATGTAATGGCAAAAGCAAATTTATCGGAACTGTGTGCTATATTTGTCAGCATCTAATGGCAAAAACAAAATTTCAATTTGATATGTGTGTTTGCTTACTTTGGGTAAATAGAACTGCCATTATAACCATAGCATAATAATTCTTCATGATAAATGCAGGAGAACATTCATTGTCTTAAAAAAAAATAAAAATTGTTGGGTACAGAAGCTATAGTTTAATCTGTAAAAAAAAACTTGGATATGGATTTTTTCTGTTATATTTTTCCTCGTTTTTCATGTTTTATTTTATTTATTTTTGCCCCGATGGAAGCAATTTTTTTTTCTAGAATACTTTTAACTTCCTAGTTCTACTGCAACAATGATTCCAAATGGGAAAAAATCAGGATTTATTTGTTTTTTTCAGTATTCCCCTCTTTATATTTTATTTATTGGATCGGTCAATGGATAATGATCAGCTGGTCTTCCAAGCTTTGGAAAACTCCATTTTTCGTGTTCAATGGGGCTCTGAGCTAAGGGGCCTGATTTCGGGTGTGAATCTCTTCATTGTTTATTCACTTTTTTATATTATATCGGTCTCTTTTAGCTGATCAATTTATCAATTATGATAAATTTATCAATTATTTCAATTTTATGAAATTTCTGGTTTCTTTATTAGTGATGATTTGTGTTAGTGAAATTGGGTTTTCTTTTGAATTCTTATTGCTCGGGTAAGTCTTATTGTTCTTCTATAGTTATACTGTATCATTTTCTTTAGTCCTTAGATTAAAAAGTAAAAGAGGAAAAAAAGAGATGGGTTATGCCTACTTTTTCCATTTGGTATGATTTTTCTCTTGGTAATAATATATTTTCTATAAAATTTTCTGAATTATACCATTCGTGCTATTGTAACTCATAATTTGTATGCATGGATTACAATTTGATTATTCATCGAGTTAGTGTTGCCTCAAAAATGTGATTTGTAATGGTAATGCTGTAGCAAAATTGAAATTGATGAACATGAGAAAACTTCTTAAGAGAAATGCAACTAGGGTAAGACACCTTCATCCCTGAAAACTGGAGAATTGAAGAATTGAAGTGTAATAGTTAACCTGATATATATGGGATTAATGATGATTTGATTTGTTTGTGCTTTTTCGGAATTTTTGATGAAACAAATGAGGGAATATGTTATGGATTCTCAATTCCATGGTGTCGAGTATAAAAAATCTTGGACCTTCTATGACCCAATGGAACTTGGATGTTTGATGTTTGTTACACCTTTTTCATAAGAAGTTATGTATTTTCATCTGTACATCCGTTTAATGCTTTGATAAATTGAGTCAAGAGTAATTAGAAAATTGTATTTCACTTACTACAAGGAATTAGCGCCTCCACGACCTTTTCAAAGACTTTGTGTAGTAAATACATATTTTCTTTAAACTCCTTATCTTCCAAGAGAATCTGCTCCCAACTTTGACTCTCAATAAGATATTTGTCGCACCTTTATTATGCATTTCAAGATTGGATATGGAGATCATGTGTTAAAGATGTATTCATGTCATAGGAATGGAAAACTATTGATAGAATTTGTATTACAAATAATTTTTCATTAATCTTACAATACTGAGAGATTAAAAAAAAAGCCGCGGATTAGTTAACCAAGCTTGGTGCTTGTATAATATAATAAAGTGAACCAAATTTATGATCTAAATCATTCATATATTTTTTTAAACATAATATGGATTGAATGTTCTAAAAAAATCATCCTAATTGGATGGATGTCGATATCTAATCATCTACATTGCAATTGAATGGCTAAAAACTAGGTATTAATCCAGATTCAGATTCCGTGAGATAATTTACCCATGGATCGCCAAACATAAGAAATTGGGTACACAAGAATTCCAGACATGTAAACCAAATATGGGAAAATCAGTATTGAAAAACTATTGAACAGGGAACTATTTACATATGAAAACTGTTTTACATATGCAAATGGTTACGCATGAACCAAACGAGCGCTAAAGTGATTTCACTGCTACTTCATAATCTTCTTCCATGCTAAGCAAAAGGTGCTTCACCTATCAAGTAGTGTGCTTTCTCGTACTCTGCCTCTGTAAATATTTATAGTTTCTTAATTTGTTTCTATTGCTTGATGCTTACAGATCACGTAGAATGATGCTAACGAGGGTGTTATGCGGTTGATTGTTGGAGGTGAAAGAGCAAATGAAACTTCGGAGTAAAAGGGATCAGAAGTAGTTAGTGTTCGTACTGAGTCGACCAGCGGAGAGGCAATCTTGAGGGAGGAAGAGTAGGCAACTTCTCAAGGGAACAGGTACTACTCTATGTTATCACAAAGGATGTTACAAAGAAACTCCAGAAGAATGTGAGGTTACAAAGATATCTTTGAGAGATTGTGAGGTTCTTCTTATAAATGTCTACATTAACCCCCCCAAAAAAGGTGTAATTATCGTTATTAATGTACCAAAAGCAGTGAAGTTGATCTGGCTGGTCTTTTTGTGGTTGCAAGACAAACCAAGGCTGGTATTATGCGAATAAAAAGAGGGCACGTAGAGAGCCTGTTTTTTAAACCTATTTTCATAAACTAATCATATTTGTGAAGAACACAAATGTGTGTGTGTGATCTGGACTTAGCTTCCAGTTGGATCTTCAGGTTAACATATAACATGTATTTATTTATGTTACATAGCCACATCTATTTATTTATGTTACTTCGCTGAAGTGGTCAGGATTTCCAAAATCAAAATTGAAAATTGCACATTTCAAGGAAATTGCCCCGTAATCGGTTGGAGTAATGCTATGAAGGGGCATTCCAATGTCCATATGTGGTGATAAGACAGAGCCAATCCCTGTTATTCTCCACCGTCCATCATCAGGAAGACACTCGATTGCCACCAGATTGAATTATGGTACACCAACACTTATAATCCGCGTCAGTGGTTTAAAAATCGTCGAGTCGGCACGGAATCGGTTGATTCGATTCGGGAATCGATCGTCCCGTGCCGATTCTCGCTTATAACCGGAAATCAGGTATCGAGTTGGCACGGAATTGGCTGATTCGATCCGGCCCAGTGGTTTAAAAATCGTCGAGTCGGCATGGAATCGGCTCATTCGATCCAGGAATTGATCATCCCGTGTCGATTCTCGCTTATAATTGGGAATCAGGTGTCGAGTCGGCATGGAATCGGATGATTCGGTCGGGAATTGATCATCCCGTATCGATTCTCGCTTATAATCAGAAATCAGGTGTGTCTAAAGACTAACCGGCGATTCGTAATGATAATTTGATGAGTCGCTAGAGTGACACGGGCGATTTCAATTGATTCGGCCTCAACCTACCCCAAGGTTGTGTAAGATCAACAGGCTGCATTGGGGTAAAAATTTGTTTTGCCATATACAAGACTACATGTGGGCTGTTTTGTGTACAAGTACATTTTGCTCTTCTCTAAGCAAATCCATGTGAGAAGTGTTCATTTACTCCTTGGGGCAAAAACCAAACTAGGGATACTTCTGGGACCCAAATTTCGGTGATATGTTCTTTTAATTTCTAAAAAAAAAAAGAAAAAAAGAAAAAAAATTCGAACCTACATTTTATGAGCATAAAAAAAAAAGAATGTCCTAAAATTGACTGGGCACCGTTCATTTTAGACAGCAAGATTCCAAGTGTTAAGGAGCTTAAAATCCATTTTTTTTTTAATAAAAAATAATCATCTAATGATATTTAAATGGTTCCAAATTACAAATAAAAAACTTATACCTGAGGGAGCAAATTATCATTTTGCTATTTTTTCTTAACGTTCATGCATAATATCTAGAGATAGAGAGAGCACCCACGAGCATGAGTGTGTGAGAGAGGAGAGAGAATTTGTGCTCATGGCAAAGGATTTCAAATCTTACAAATAGTACATATTATAATATAATATTTGAACTATCTATTTTAAGTATTTTCAAATATTTATAGATTTATTACATCTACATTGCTTTTAAAATTTTAAATTTTATAATTAGAGATAAAATAGATTTTTCAGGCTATTTTAAAAATTTTGGACACCAAAACTAACATTTTTCATACCATTTGGAGGTACATTTTAAGCACCCAACCTAAAAAGCGTATATTTTAAGCCCAAGGACTTCGTTTTCGGGAGGCATTAACCAAGCAGAAGATTTGCTGCTTATTTGAAAAGACAAAAAATACTATCATACACAGTATGTGCATAATATAGTACAGACTTTCCATACTATAAACGACCGGAGCATGACATATTTCCACCACCTAAAACAGATAATTACCCTCAATAAAGACGCTATTTCCAAACTAGTCTGCAGAAATATGGGTTTAAACCCTCAAATATTCGACTGAGAGAAAGGCATTAATGTCATTTTTGCAAAACAAAACCTCCATACACAGAGACGCGGGCAAAAGAACTCTCCAGACTTTCAAACGCCTGCTGTAAGGAAAGAAAAAACCTACGCGTTCCTTCTGATAAAATCGTTTTTATTTCAGGTATTTATTACATTTGTTAAGGTTTTGTTCTATGCTTTCAAGCTATTTTGACAATTTAGCAGAGATTTGTGGATGACTTTGTGCTTATATTTTATTTTATTTTTCTGTCTCTTTAGGCCAGAAATGAGTGCTTTGGGGATAAACACTGGTTCGAGCTCAAATCCAAGTAACCCAAATAAATCAGTGGAGGTATTTTTTAAGTTTCATATTATTTCTTTTGGTTCATTGTTCGAAAGCGAGATTTTTATACTTGTTCTTATCCATTAAGGTGTTCTCTTTTCCTCGATAAGATATGAAAATTAGATGCAGATAAATAAACTCTTGATTCATTGTTTGCAATTATTAATTGGGTTGTAAATTGAGAAAACTAGGAAGCAATGGATGTATGTATTTAGGTTTTGTCTATTTAAAATCAAAATAAAGGAAATGAATGGACATCGATCTGAAAATATTGTAATCTGTTCTGTATTCTTGTTGTTTTAGTTCATCTGTTGTTGTGTCTACTGTCCTATACTATTTCAAACCATTGCCAAAATTTCAAAGATTCAAGTAATGATTTTTTTTTTTCCATCTGTAACATTTAACTTTTGTTTTTTTTGAAGAAATGTTAACTTTTATATATTAATAGTATAATTTCAATAGAAGGCATCCCACAGGCTGGGTGCTCTGAGTACACAAGTATGGGGGTGAGAAAATAGACGGAGAGAGGGAAACAGTTCAGGGGATGAGAAGCAGAGAAAGGCAAAATCCATGGTGAGTGCATAAAAATAAAACACTGCAAATTGATGGTGGTTTCGTTCGTTAGGCTGCCTGAGATAGTGGTTGCTTGGTTTGACGTTCTGGTGATCGGTGTGACCTGTGCGAGGGTGATGTATGGTGGCAGTCCGTCCGAAGAAAACCTGCAAAAGATGAGAGAGCCAGACGAAGGATGTTGGGGGGGAGGGTTGGGATAAGACGAAGGGTGGAAGAGGAGGATATGGTAGCTTGAAAAGGGCTGAGTACTAGAGGGAGAAAATAGACAAGCTCAAGTAAAGTAGGTAAGGGGAGAGACGATGTATATGAGAAGGAAAGAAGTAGGGGTCGTAGAGGAGAAGGATAGTGGGGATAAAGGTAGAGAGGTGAAGTTGAGCAAAGCTTGATGGGAATTTGTATATGAAAGCAGTGTAGGAGCTATGCACAAATTTTCTTTAGTTCCTAATACATCCATATATATATATATATATTTTTCTTATGATATCCCCCCAAACACTTTTTTTTTCCTTTTGTTTTTTGGTTGGAGGGGGGGTTAGTAGGAGGAATAAAAGAAAGAGATTTAAAGATTTAAGGGATGCACCTATTACAAGGTAATTCCTTGCTTGGCCATCCTATCTGCTTCAGCATTGGCTTCTCTTGGGATGTGCTTGAATGTGGCCTGATGGATGAAGCTGCATAGGAAATCAATGTGCTCAAAAATGCAATATAGGCGCCAAGGAGGTTGACATTGGTGGGAGGCCCATAAAATGGAGTTACTGGAGTCAGATTCAATGATGAGTCCTTGATAGTTCAGGCCTGCATGCGATACTCTTTTGACACCTTCAAGGATAGCTAAGGCCTTGGCTGTGGTTGAATCAGCAACATGTATGTGCTCTGAGAAGGAGATGAAGATTCTGTTGGAGCTTGCCAAGGTGCCTCCAATGCCTGCAGGCCTAGTGTTTCAAAGGGAAGAGCCGTCCGTATTCAGTTTAAGGAATCCCAGCGGGGGAGTCCACTGGGCTGAGGTTCTGTTAGGAGGGGACGATTGTTTCAAAAGAGCATGCCAATTGGTTAGGTAGTGGGAAATGGGTATGGTAAGGGAAATTAATGCTGTAATTGAGTTGAAGATGGAACAATGACTTCTAGAAATGCCTCAGAATGTCTTAGAGTTCCTCTCAAGCCAAATACTCCAGAGGAGGGCAACAACAGACAATTGCCAAAGTTTTTTGCCTTGTTTTCCAAAAGGAGGGGAGAGGAATGTGCTGAAGAGGTTTTGAACTGAAGGAGTAACCCACTGGAGACCGAAAAGCTTGAGGAGAGAGGATCAGAGACCTAGGGCAACCTTACAGTGAATAAAAAGGTGAGACATAGATTCCTCATCTTGAAGACACATAATGCAATGGTTGGTCGAGAGTTAGGGTTCTACCTTGAAGGAGGACCCAAACAAAGGCTTGAATTTTATGGGTCACAGGCAAAGACCAAGATTTGTTGTGGAGGGGTGCTGCGGTGAGAGTTGAAAGTGATAAGGAGTAGTAGGAGGACACCGAAAAGGTGCCATAGGGTTGGGGCTCCAGATGAGAGAATCTTGTCATTAGAGGGAGCTGAAAATAGGGACAAGCGTCAAGGGAAGGGAATTCAGAGAGAGGGATTCCTGGTCGGTGAGGTGTCTCCTGAAAATGGGGGTCCAAACCAGATATGACCCTCTGAACTCTACGTAATTTGCTATCACAGACGACTGGTTTGTAGCCAAAAGGACTAAAGAAGGGAAAACCTGTCTTGAGGGGTTGATTTCCTAGTCAAATGTCGAGCCAAAACTTGATGCTGTGGGCATTCCCCTGCCTAAATCTTATATTGTTAAGGAAGGCACTCTCACTAGAGGTAATGCATTTCCATGCACCCGAGGATCTGTGCGATGGAGATTTCGGAAGCCATCCATCATCCCCAAGGCCATACTAGGCCTGAATAACTTCTTTCCACAGGATGGGGGTGGGGGGAAGTGAAGTTCCACCACCATTTGCCAAGCAAGGCAACGTTCGTTTCTTCACTATAAGTATGACAGTTTCACCTTTATATATATATATATATATTGAAGCTGTTTACTGTGCTATATTAAATAAGAGAAGGCCTTTATATTTTTTCTTTCCTTATCTTGTCTGTTACATTACTGTTCTTTCATTTTTCCTCATGCTATGAGAAATTTGACTTTATTTTTTAATTTCTTGTTCACAATTTATACATAGATTCTTGATAGCTTCTTCAGAAAGATTGATGGATGTAAATTAATAAACAATTATCTTTTAGATTGTTTATTGATTGTGTTTTCACTTGTCCTCATTCTTTGACACGTCGATTAACATTTCAAGTTGCTTTTTTTTGACATGTTAAACGGTGGGAATGGAGGGTGGGACGTTATGTTGAGGCATCATCCTTCCTAACCACCAATGCCCCAACCCCATTCCCCACTCAAGAAGGATAAACAGTAGGATTATTCTTTGATTTTTGAATAGAAAAGATTGATAACTATATATGTTCATTTACCCATCTCATATAGGTGGTGCAGCCCCCAACTGATGGGGTTTCTAGCCTCAATTTCAGTCCAAAAGGCAATTATCTTGTGGCCGCTTCTTGGGATAATCAGGTTTGTGGTTATCCTGTTAATTTTTGGATTCCTCTCTTATTGGGATTACCCTTTGACCTTTACTTACAGTTTCATCTTGCTGTCTCTCTTTGTCAACAATAGGTTAGGTGCTGGGAGATACTCCACACCGGTGGCAGTGTACCAAAGGCTTCAATAACTCATGATCAGCCGGTGTGTTTCGTTATTATTTTCCAAATTATACTGATAATGGGATTTTTTTGTTTTGGAACTTCATGTTTACTTGAATAGAATTTATCAGCTGGTTCGTTTGGTGTGATTTACAATATTACGGAGAAAATTGTATTTTGTTTCGAGATTTTGGTGGCTAGTGTTTATGATGGATGAGGATTATTCTTGTTAGGTTTTGTGCTCAACCTGGAAAGACGATGGAACAACAGTATTTTCAGCTGGTTGTGACAAGCAAGTTAAAATGTGGCCTTTGATGTCTGGTGGGCAACCAACAACAGTGGCCATGCACGACGCACCAATTAAGCAAGTTGAATGGATTCCTGAGATGAGTTTACTTGTAACTGGTAGCTTGGACAAGACTGTGAAGTATGTCTACAAATTTGTGTTTTCATTGCCAAAAAATTATCTATTCTATGACTGCCGTAATAGGATGATTGTGCACCTTTGACTTTCGCTTGGACTTAAGAGGAATTGCTTGGTTGATGTTATCTTTTTAGTTGATCGGGCTCTGATTGCTATATTTGGCGGTTCAGTTTAGATGGTTGTGCACAAGATGTTTACAGTCTTTTTAGTGGTAATTGACTTAAATCATCAACCCTTTCGATGTATTTTGTTTCTTTCATAAACCAGGAACACTCTGTTTGTTTGATGCTGTAAATTTTGTTTATTTTAACTTGCTCTCTATTTTGAGTAAGACTTTAATATAATCATGTAGATGTGGGAGCTATGTTAGTTTAATTAGACTGGCATCTGATTTATGTTTTTTGAGAGTAGGACGTGCAGCTCAAGTCGTCATGTAGGATTCGAACCCAAGACCTATAATCCACACGCCTCCATGACAACAATTTAAGCCATTCTGATTTATGTTTTTTGAGATTCTTATAAATAATATTTCTGAATTATTGTATTTTAAATGACCAAATAAAAGTAGTCTGGCCACTGAAATTTTTCTTGAATATTAAAAGAAAGTAAAAAACACTACACATCGACCTTCGCCTAGCCCATCTATTTAGATACTATTGAAGGAAATGATAGCAACTAGTTGATTGGCATTGCTCCATAATTTTGTGGATTCATGAAGTTACTGAGGAAATAAATACAAAAAAAATCAATGACAACTCTTCGATACTTTGACTCGTGAATTATGATGTAAAGAACTTCTCTTTCTATCATCAATCTTCATGCCTACGAATCTGCATTGACTTGTTTTTATGCATATACCCGCACAAACAAGCATGTCTATCAACTACTGCCGTGTGTTTGAACTTGTACATTGTGCTATCTCTGTCAAAATATTTCTAGTTGTTTATGTGTCTCTTTATACGAGGGGGGATTTGCCAACATACTTTTCAATGGGTGGTGGTGAATTTTGTTGACGCATTCTGAAGTTTTTGGAATTATAATTTCCATTTACTTGAGAAAATTGCTATCAGGCGGGTGGTGTTTATCAATTGTCAAGTGCAATAACAGATTCCCTCTTTCAGTGGGTTTGCTTTGATTGGGAATGATGCATATTCATTGGACTTACATTAGGCTTCGTTTATCATTAGATGTCTAAGCAATTAAAACACTCCAGCTCAATGGGTTAATTTGAAATTCGCCCTTGGAAAATGATGAACACTGTTGATACCAAAAGTGATTTGCTCTAGAGTTTAAGTCCAAATATAGGTCAAATAAAATCACAATCATTTTGAAATTCGTACTCATTGATCGTATGGCTCTGGTTATGTTATGCTTTGTTTATTGTTTTCAATGAGTTGTGCGCAAGAATCTGATGTCTTGCAGAGAATTCATTTTTTGCTGGCTTTGTCAATTTATGTTGAAGTACATGAAGAAAATTCGGTCAACAGGTTCATGACTTAGAAAGTTGATTCTCTTGAAATCTGAGACTACTACTCATTGACTCCATGAGTGAGTCCAACTTCCATGTTTTGCCCAGCCACCTAGGCGGCCGGAAGGCGGCCAAAACGTCTAGGCGGCCAAGGCGCTGCCTTAAGGCGGGCGCCTAAGTGGCGCTTCGATGCAGGCAGGCAGAAAAGGGCTTGGGGACGCAGGCAGTGCCTCGATGCAGACAGGCGACATCTCCATGTAGGCGGCATCTCGGCCTTGGTATTTTGGGGATACTCCACCCAAAAGGGGGAAAAAGGGTTTTGAGGAGCATTCTGGTCCCCCAAAACCCGTTTTGTGTATTTTTGAGAGAGAAACTCTAAATACTTAGATTTTGAGATTTTTTCTGAGACCGAAAAAATTTCAACATCTTTGATTTCTTGCGAAATCAAAAGATATACTTCCTTATACCTTTCGGAGACTGGAGTGGTTGTATTAGGGGACTTTTCGCGACAAAGATCACTGGTTTGGGCTGATCTCTGTTTCATTTGTAAAGGTTACTGCATTATAATAGTTGAATTAGGGTTTGGTAATTTTTTTTTGTATAATATGTTATACTTTGATATTCTTTTATTTATTTTTTCTTTTGTGATATATTTACATGTATGCAATTGAAAACTTGAAATATTTTGTGAATATTTCCTGGTTTGCAATTGAAAAGTTCGATTTTTTTTGAAAAGCTTAGTGCATTTGATTTTTTTTTTGTGTAATGTGTTATGATTTGATATTCTTTTATTTTTTTTGTTTTTGATATTTTTACATGTTTGTAGTTGGAATATTTGATGATGTTTGTGTCTCTGTGATAAATTAAGGTTTTTTTTTTTCGGGGTTTTGGGCCCTAAAATTGCCCTAAGAACTCCCTAGGGGGCCTAAACCCCTGCCCTAAGAACTCCTTGGGCTTCTAGTCTGTCTAGGTGGGCGCATCCGAGTTTTTGAACATTTGAATTCTGAAATCCTTTGTGTTCACTTGGCTTCCTCTAGTTCACGAGTTACCTGCCTAATATTTCAGATGAGTATGTCATCTTTGCATTTGAGAAGACTTATCTTGCAGTCTTGTTAATTGCTTTATCTTGGACAATCTTTAAATGTGATTTCATTATGCATGAAAATCCTTGTTTGGGTTCATCCTATACTGTACGAGCAGCACAGTTTGGAATTCTCATGCTCATCAATTGCGATCTTCTAAAACTCATGCACCATTATTTCATGTGCCTTTTCTATGCTGAAAAGTGAACAATCTTGGACTCATTTCAATAGTTGCACACTTTAGCATCATGGAGCTTTTTTAAACTCATGAGCTTGCAGCCAATGGCTACATGCTTGTGATGAATAGTGGTAGTCATTGCATTTCTATTAACACCAGGCTAAATGGCTTAACTTAAAGTTTGTTAATAGGTTACTTCTATTTTGTAACTTGTAGTATTCATGAACGCTTCTAAATAAATTATTTTCTTCCTTATCTTACGTGGTTTGGTAGAAGAATGACAATCTTTTTCTTAATCTTATTAGCTGCAACTGTTTAACATGTTAATTCGGTGTGCCTTTTCTTTGTTGGGTTCGCTATATCCTTACTGTAGGCATCACTCCGTTGTTTTCTCTGGATTGTGATGAAATATTAACTGCTATTTATTTATTTCAGGTATTGGGATACTAGGCAACCAAACCCTGTGCACACTCAACAGCTGCCTGAGCGCTGTTATGCCATGAGTGTGCGACATCCTCTGATGGTCGTGGGAACTGCTGATCGTAATCTGATCATTTACAATTTGCAAAATCCTCAGGTAGTCATCACTGACCTTATCAATGTTCGTGATGATTAGTATGCAACATATGCTAATGATGATCCTCAAGTTAGTATTGCATTCCATGTGTATTAATTACTACTTTTTTTCCCCTGAATTTGAATTTGAGCGAAACTAGAAAATTGTAAAGACATTTCTTATCCATTGCCTCCGTAAATTTTGTCTCTAAATTATATAGATGCAGTTTTTACCATTGGAATGCCCAGTATAGGTGTTGATCCTTCTCTCACTACCTCGGAGTTGTGACCTTACATGGATCAGATAATGATATCCTGCAATGCAAATTGGGAAATAGATACTTTGTTAAGGGCAAATTAGGAAATACACAAATTTGTTGCATTGAAAAAGTAACATACTAAGAAAACAAGAAAATTAGGATATACACTCTTAGGGCTGGCCTGAATTTTAATCAGTCATGGAAATTGTTGATTGCTTCAGCCACTTTGTGGATCACTTATGTACCCTGCTCATGCTTTGGAATCAGTTCTCTTTCTTATGTTGTTTATCTTCATATGCATGTGCATAGTTGAACAAAGGACAATTCATCAAGTAGATGTTACTACATAGCTTCCTTTTATGTATAGGTCCGTAGTCAGAGAAGGCAGCAGGAGCTTGAGTTGACCTTCCCCATTGTGCTATAAGTTGTATCTTTAGTGTGTTTCTGCTATGATGCCACTATGGTGTTACATTACAGTGTGCTTCAAAAACATTCATCCCTTAAGCAGAATTTATTGATCCCTGTAATGTAATGGACCGTTCTCTCTTAAGATTTAAACAAGTGTTCTCATTTATTTCCAAGGTCTTTGGAGCTTGGAGAAAGCATTTATGAGATGGGGTTAGAGTTTAGATGAGTCGGTTTGGTAGGTTCTGGCTTGATGTTTGGTTTTGGAAAGAAGTGCTTAGAGATAGGATCTTGTTAGTTTGGCTCATGTTGGGAGCATGTCCCAGGGATTGCTTCAGAATGGTGTAATAATATTGTTTTACGTTGATTTTCTGGACGAAGACCTACTGGAGCTAGGTAGGTTTTTCTTTTGTTTAGGGGTCTACATACTAAAAGTTGGTGTTGGTAAGAGGCATTGGAGGTGGACTAGTATAGGATGGTTCTCTTAAATGTGTTGTATGTGTCAGAGGCCCCGATGGTGCGCCCATTTGGGTGACTGTTTTCTGCTTGATAAAATCTTCTTTGGAGACAATCTTCAGCATAACCACGTCTTGATCGGAATTTTTGCCTCTTGTGTTTGGCAATTGAGGGGGCAGAGTTTTAGGCCAACAATGCTACAATAGTTTTTAATGAGCGTGAGGAAGAATTGGTGCTTTTCTTTGATCTCTTTATTTTCTGTTGGATGCTGCTGGGTGTAGTGGCACCTCTCATTTGATGCCAACTTTTGGTCCATTTATGATAGAGAACTGATCCTCTAGGTCACGCACAGTTCACTGACCATTAAGTTATAATCATTATGAAAAGTGGACAATAAATATTTTAAAGGCACCCCACTAGTAGTTCATACTGCTTAGAGGAAGAACTGGCAAATGTATATTTAATGAGCTCTAAATCTTGGGTTCTGTGTAGTCTCTTTTTTGTTAAGTGGGAGGTTTTGAGTTTGAACCTAAATGAAAGCAATTTCAATCTGTCTAGCCAAAAAACGGGTTGGTGGAACACCTGATTTGAGAAGGGAAGGCTATATTTCTCTGTGAATCCTAGGGTACAATGGTGTAAATGGCCAATAGGAACACTACACAATTGCTGGCCGTTTCCTTGAGAACCTTTGCCTTATGTGATGTGGGACTGTTAGAGGATTGGGCTTAAGGTATTTGTGGAGACACAAACCATCTACTTATCTAAACTGCCTATGAACATGATTTTCTATTGCTCCTAGCATATTTCAAATCTATGAAACAAAATTCTGATTTTTATTTTTATTTTTATTTTTATGCTTATGAAACAAGTTCTGCATTTGCTTATCATACAAGCAAGTCCAGTGTATGAAATCCTTTAACAGCTGATTCTTTTTTGACATTTTAGTGGATTGTTTTCGATCATTTGAATCTTCATGCTTTTGAGTTTTGGTCATAGCAAAAGCATTCCCAAACTTATCTTGAGTTATTTCTTATCAAAGTTATTTTCATCATTGTTAGTTATATGTTGATTGAGATCCAGTTATGTTTTGCTTTTGATAATTCATTACCTGGTTTGGCCTCTCCCACATTTACCTATGTTATTTAAAAATTTGGCTTATTGGACATTCATTTTGTCACTTCATATCAAAATACGCCACATCCGATTCATTGTTTTTGTTTTTCTTATTGATTTGGTTTGTTTTATTTTTTTTCTTTTTCCTATATGCAATAACCTGGGTGTTTACATAAATGTCTAACTAGACAGAGTTTAAGAGGATCACTTCACCACTAAAGTACCAAACTAGATGTCTTGCGGCATTTCCTGACAAGCAAGGTATTTTGGTAAGATTCTTTCATTATTTTAGTTTTGTTTGGCTTCTCAATCAGCTTGGTATGAAAGTTGGCCCTTGAAAGAAACTACTGGTTGATGATAACATCATGTTCATAAACACAATTACTAAAGTACAATATTACATAAGAAATTTGAAATCTGATTTCAATTATGTGTTTATGCCCAAAAAATGGGACTTGGGGAATGGAATAGGCCACCTAGCCTTTTTCCCTTCCCTTAAATGGGATGAATTAACAATTTTAACCTTCACGTAAAGGCATTTTTTGCCATCCGGTGAACTTGGATTGAGGCGGCCAAGGCAGTACCTAGGCGGCTGCCTCATGCAGGCAGGCTTCTTTGGCTGCCTCAATGTAAGCAGCTGATGAGCTCCACCCTTCCTTGTGGCAGCCGCTTAGACACCAGGTGGGGTGCCTTTGATACACTTTTTGGAGGCATCGTGTTGGTGGGGAATTTCGTCCATTTGACATGCACACCTATATGGAAGATCTTCATATATATCCAAATCTCAATTATGACGGGGCTTTTTTTTTAGAACAAAGTTGTAGTTTTCCATCGAGAGTCCACTGGAAGTTTTGGTTACCTAAGGTCCAATATCCTATTCGATGTTTTGGGTAACAAGGGCATGCTTAGAAGGATGTCATTGCTAATGCACATGAAGATCCTTATTGCTTCATGTATCATCCTTCTTGTGTGCAAGGGGAAATTGTAGTACCAGAAGAGGGGGAACCACTTCGTTTACTATTGAGTATTTGAGTATTGACATTAACACTTTTGTGATTCATTTTATAATCTGCCTCCACCCCCTCTCCCCAAAAAAAAAAAGTGAATCATTTTTATAATCTGCCTCTTGTTCAAACGGAAAGAAGCGTAGATACGAAAGGAAAGAAGGCCAATTCACTTTTCCTGAGATGCGTACTTCTTCCACAAAATTTTTTCTAGATCTCCACATACCTAACTTAACAGATCTCCTAATATTCTGCACATATACGAATTTTGTTTAGGACATGTTTTTGAATAACCTCTTTCCGATATTTGTTATGCTTAATTGCTTATTTTCCTCTTTAGGTGGGTTCAATAGAGGGCCGAGTCGGCGTGCACCATCTGGAAGATTCACAGCAGAGTAAAAACTTCACTTTCAAATGCCACAGGGAAGGCAATGAGATCTATTCAGTCAACTCTTTAAACTTCCATCCTGTATGTTGTCTTCTTGGAGTTGTAATTTCTTAGTTATGCCGACGTTTTCCTTTTTGATAGTCTTTACTAATGCATATTGCTGCTCCCTTTCTTTCCCTGCTTCAGCATTGGTGCTTGTTCACAATTTTTTATTTTTTTTCCTGCTTTTCTGTTGTCATAATGTTCATAATGTCCTATTCTCTAGTAGTAGAGGCAAATACCAAGTTACCAACTACCCATCGTAACTTTCCTTTGAATCTTCACCTCATTTTGTAGATTTGAGATACATGGCTTCAGTTGTTTTGGAACCTCTATTGCCTACCTTGTGCATGGATGAGGTTTTGCATTTCCAATAATCTATAACCCTACATTAAAAAAATAATGCCTTTATTTTAGCCTGTATATTTTTTTTATTTTTGTTTTTTTGGAGAGAGTTTGACTGTTGCTTATTTTGTTTTATCTAAACAAGTAAATCAAATAAGGCTGCCCACATGTTAGGAGATCCTATGCAAAAAGGGCTATCAAGTCGGGAGCTTGTACTAAAATAGGTTGAAGGCCCACAAGTCCTTAAATTGGCCTGCAGTTTTCCCATTTGAAGAAGTTAAATTTCGGTGTTTTAGCTTCTGTAGTTCATTTGAAGCAAGTTTAATATTGATTTTTTTTAGCTTCTAGAACTACTTTTAAATGAAGGGCTGTTCATGATCCAGCAGCCTATGGTTAGTAGCGAGGGGCACAAGGGAGCTACCAAGCTAGTAAAAACCTACATTATCGAGCTATTCTTAAAATTGTATTTTCATTTCTCTAGCATGTGAATGAACATCTAAGCGAGCTATTGTATGTGTCACGAGAGAACAATCCCAACCAGTGGTTTAAAAAAAGGATCGGTGCCCCGGATCGGGCACCTCAAAAACCCACCCGGATCGGTGAATCGGCGATCTGGATCGGGAATCGGTCGGATCGGTCCTTTTAAGCTTTAAAAAAAATCCAAAAAAATTATGAAAATTCATTATAAATGTTATTTTTTAAGAATCCAATAAGAAATACTGGTATTACATTATTAACTTTCATTTTTAATGAATTTGTGAATAATTAAAATGTTCTTTTTTTGTATGAACTTATGTTAACGATTTAAATTTGCATCACATAGAACAAAAAACATAGAATTACGATGGATAAAGTATATAATCATACATAGACTACAATAAATAGTGGATTAAATCGATAAAAAATGGCCACTAAAATCTCGAATTGGCGGAAAAACCTAACCCACTAAAAAAAAAAAAACCAAATTATTGCAACTGAACTAACTATAATATTATATATTGCAACAAAAATTGTTGGTTTTTATTATATAAATAATAACAAATTTAAAATATTTTATAATATCATTTAATTTAAAATGTATTATTGACAACTGTAAGAAAAATAATACATTGCAAGATTTATAATGCAAATAAATAAATAAATAAATAAATAAAATATTTGATTATCAATATATAAATTATTCGAATGCGCATCAATTTTAGAAATAACACTTCAAATTTTTAAAAATGTAATTTTTTAGAGTTCTAGAATAAATTTAATGGAAGAGATTGTTAGAGACAGAGAAATATTTCAAATGTGTATGAATCATATCTTAAAATTAATATTCCTATTTTATGTTAAAGCTTACCATATTATAAAAATAAAAATTATAATTAGATCAGTTATTCCTAGTTTGTATTAAAAAATATTTGTTGTATTAAGAAATATCTTTTATTTTTTTTTACAAGAAATACTTGTATTTTTTTTTTACGAGAAAATATGATATTTGTTGTATTATTATTATTATTTTTTTTGACAAGAAAAAAACGAAGATGTTATATGACCTTTTTTTTTTTGCTTGTTGTATTGGTTTTTATTTTTTTTATTTCTTTTGTCATATTATTTTCTTCATTTTAGTTCTTTTTTTAAGACAAAAGTAAACACCTATCTTCTTTTTTTTTTTTCATTTTTATTTTTTTTATTAGGACAAATTTTAGTTTTTTTTTAAGACAAGTAAAAACCTATCTTTTTTTTTTAAAGATATTATTTTTTAAATTTTTTTTATGATATTATTTTTTTAAAATTTTTTTATGAAGACAAAAAGTGAATTTTGCACAATAGCGTCCCAACTGGGATTCAAACTTGGGACATCACGCATGAAACCTCTGTTGCTAACCACGGCAACCCTTCACGTGCTGCTGAAGAGTTTTGTACAATATTTACCTATATTGTATGAATTTTCAATATAATATCGCTTAGCGCAAGTTCTACATCAAAGAATTGGAGAAAGTCTAAAGTTATAAATACCTTTACAAAAGCGTTAGTGCCAGCGAGATGGAGAGAAGGAGAGAAAGGGTAACCTGAAATGATATTTTGAAAAAAATTACCAAAATATCCTCAGGTAAGGACTCGCCCTGTGGCGTCACTAAGCGGCTTTGACGTCACTAAGCGGCTGGAATCGCGATTTATGACGTAATGGGGGCGATTCACTGTTCAAAATCGCCGATTCTCTTCTAGGATCGGGCGATTCCCGGTTTTGCAGAAGAATCGACACGGGGTGCCCGATTCCCGTGTTGACTTGGGCGAGTTTGTTGCGACTCGCCGATTTTTAAAACCCTGATCCCAACACATATATTCCAAGTGTGTGTCAGTGAAAGCTTTTCCTGAGATGGAATTTACTTCTATCATTTACTTCCTTTGGACATTTATCTTTTGGTTGATCTGGAGAAAATCTTTTGAAGGGGATGTTGGGGTCTAGTGGTTGAGTTGTTTCTATTGTCAGTTAGGTTGCTTTGGCATAATTTCAGGCACTTGGGTTCCTTGGAGCGTTTTGAATGAATGTGGTAACAGAGGTTTGTTTGGGCTTTGTGTGCATTGTATGTGATGAGAATTGTGAAATGATGGTCTCACCTTCTGTCCTTCAGATTGGCTGGAGTTACCAAGTGGACTTGTCAGCTTTTCTGTGGAGTAGCTTCCATTATTGATATCCTAAAAGTATGGGTCATAAGGTCTTTGTGGTTATTAGGATCTACTCCCTAAGAGCCAGGTTGGCAGAATGGATTGGGTTAACACGTGTTGCTTCCTAAGGGCAATGTCTTTGAGAGTTGCTTTCTCTTTCCTAACGGATACAGGTAGCTAAAATCTTCGTTCTGGTTTCCTCAGATTTGCAGGCTTTGGAGGTATTGCTGTGGTTGAGAGCATTTGTTTTTGCATCGTTTAAGGGAGCCTCAATACTGCTTTAGTGGACCAGATTACATCTGGGCCTGAGGCCCTTCTGTGATGGATGGTGCTGCTTTAGAAAACATTCAGTGGGTCTATGATGATTCCTTGTGTTTAGGCATCTGATCCGAAATCAATACCACATCAAGGCCTCCCGCAAGCTTTGGCTTCTTAGAGATCTTTAAATTTGTTGTATCTTAAGTAAGTCTTAGAATATTACATGTATGGTAATTAATGTGGTAGCATTCATTGTTTACGTTTAGATGTTTGTGAATTTGCTAAAATGTAGCTGTGGCCCATTCAAATCCTTCCAATGGGGCATTAATTATTAAAGTTTTGTGTATCTATGGAATGCACTTTGCTAAAAGAAAAAACCAGAAAAAAAGAAATTGAACAAGAGACCACCAGTTTGTTCTTGATGAAAGAGACTGGTTGTTTCCCACTCACAATGAGTGAAGTTGTAGTGTTTTCTTTCTTTTTCTTTTTCTGATAATCAACTGTTTGTTGTCATAGCTTGCAAATCCTCCTCATTAGCCCAAGCTTGTTATGCTACCCTTTCCTTTTTGTCATAAACATGATATTGCATTGATTTTCGATCTCTCATTTTCTCCATCTTACATTACAAACAACAATGCTTGAATTATGAAGAATCGTAGGTCATTTATTTATATGTTGTCGAATATTGCTTTATTTAATGGATTTCTTCTATTTGCAGATACATCAAACTTTTGCTACAGCTGGATCTGATGGTGCTTTCAACTTTTGGGACAAGGATAGCAAACAAAGACTCAAGGTTGGGGGTCACCGTTTGTTAATTTAATGGAGTTGTTTGTTTCTTCTGATTTTCGATTCATTTGTGTGTGTGTGGTGTCATGCCGTGTTGTTAACATAATCAAGAGTCAAGACTGGACTGGACGGCTTGGTCTAACCGATTGGACAACCAACTGGTGCCTTAGTCAATCCGGTTTAAAGCAAATAATGGTTTGGTCAGAAACCAGGCAAAACCAATGTTTTCCAGGGTTTTGACCTGTCGGACTGGCTGATTTTGACCTTTTGGATTTGGTTAAACAAATTTGGCGATTTTTTTTTTTTTTGCAATATATTTTATGTTTTTAAACCCACCATTCCTATTTTTTTCTTTATTTTTGAAAATTTGGTCTTACCGGTTTGAGGGCGTTTGAATCGGTTTTGATTGGACAAACTCCTCACCAGTTCGATGACTGGTCCAATCCTGATAACACTGGTTCTTAATGCAATGAATTTCTAGTGTGATAAGCTTCTTTTGTATGATGATTGAGTGTTCTTTTAGCAGCAATTTATTTGTTGGCTATTCTTCACTTTTGTTATCAATGGGCAATTGGATGAAGGGCTTTCCTGGATACATCTCAACATGGGGGATAAGAAAAATGTCAAAAATACTCTAAATACCTTTAACACATGATAAAGATCCAGAATCGTAAGTATGTTCTTGTGAAATTTGTGTGTTTCTTGAAATATGTTTGAAAGCAATTCCCAGCAAATATCAAACTGCATTTGCAATCCCTACTAGGTAATTCTGAAAAAACACAATACTGGTTCTAAGATTGAGTCCCTTGTGCTACACCAATAGACACTGTCTGAGAATGAGCACTGAAGACCAAAATGGACCTTGAAAATGCAAAATATATTTCTTGGATGGATGTTTCTATAAATTCAATTTCGTGTATAGTGTGTCACGATAACATCTTCGCTAAAGCAAAACATTATCAGCTAAGTCGGGAAATGAGAGAGACCCGCTGAATTGAAATAGCATAGAAAAAGAGAAGGTATAGTGAAATGGGGCCAGTGAAAAGGCAGGGGCAAAGCAAAAGATCCTTTGGCACTCAGATTTAGTTAGGAGCACTAGGCATGTAATAACTTAAAGGAGCTATATGCCAAGAATGCAAGGATACTTGTTAGAGGGTGCGAAACCTGTTCTGTCTGCAATGTTAGTGAAGTTTTTAATTTGAGACAATATTTAACTAGCAATTTTTTATGAGTTTAGTGCGTGGAAAACCGTTTCCTGTGCATTCCCTATGTTCTCACTTACTTGTTCAGTATCTCCCCATCATTTACTTCTTTCAAGTTTCCTGAGTTGCGTGTGATTTTTTGTGACAACAAAGCTCCCTGGCTTCTTCCATAAGTCGTTTTATTCTTCTAATTGTTTCCTGTTTCATGAATCATGCCTTTCTTCCATGTTTCCAACACTCATCCTCTGTCCTTTTTCTGGTCTTCTTCCAGGTTTTCGCAACCATGGCTGCATTTGCATGATACACTTAAGCATTGGATATGTGTTCCCCTTCGAAGTTGATCTCTTTTTCTGTCGTCTAGGCTTGAGAAGATTGTAGCAAATCCTAAAATTGCTCCTTATTGGTGATATACATAATTGCATATAAAATCTCCTAATACATGCCCTTTAACGTATTCTTAAAATACCATATATGTCCAGTACATATTTGTGCATAAATTTTGTCAGGGGGTTATTTAAAAAAAAAATTTCTTAATATCCTATAGTCAAATGTCACACATGAAATGCAAATTGTGTTCCCATGAATAATGCATAACTCCGATCAATTTTGTGATCAAATATTTGGGTTTATGGGAGTGCGTTGTCTGCATTCATCTGTATCTACTCCTAGCAGATATAAACACATAGTGCTGTCAAAAAGGAGGGCTTAACTTGTTTCCATAACCTGTAGAGAATGTTGCGATTTTATGTATAGTCCAAGGATTACTCGATCTTAAAATCTCTCTTGATGTAACTATCAAATTAGATTACTTAGATGCCTGCATTGCAGAAGCATCCACTTGGAATCATGTTACTTTAAGTTTGTTCTGGATGTGAAATTAACATGTGGCGTGCTTCCATCTCAGAGGTACTCCTTTCATGCTCATGTATGATTTTATGGGTCTGCTTACTGTTCTATGCTTGCTGGTTCCTCGGGAAATTGGCAGGTTGTGATATTTCAGATGATTCCAAAGTGTAATATGTTTTCCCACAACATAAATTTGATGTAATGTTGCTATTTGTTGAAGTATCTGACTGACAAACCCAGAATAATTTTACTAAAACTGGGATAAAAGGTTCCAATTTCTGTTTTCTTCTATCCTCAGAATGGATTTACATTTTGCATGAGAACTTTTAACGCATAATACGCCAAATACCTGTTTAGGTTTTTGTTACTGCCAACTGCTGGCCAGCTTGCTAAAAGTTAGTAGATTGACCTATGTTTAGATTACGTTGAACAGAAAACATGTTTTAGGATATCGAGTAACTAATACAGAAAGCTGCTATGATATTTCCTTTTTTGGGTGGTTAAGCTTGGACTTGGGTCCAATACTACAGTACTGGGGTTCTCACAACCTAAATACTCGGTGAAATGAACCTGACTGCTGCTTTAGATTAGTGTTTTCTATTCTAGTTTTGGAGGTTCAACCATCGTATGAGCATAATCATTGTTTGTTTAGAACTGGATCTGTCAAGAAAGCCTCCTGTGATGAGTGTATCTTTGTCTTTCTTTTCTTTTTATACTTCTTTTCTCTGAAATTGTTATTGATTGGTAGAACTTGAATTTGCTTATTGAATTTGCTGCCGAAACTGGAGTGCTGTGTTGAGCGAGTATCTATAGATTGGTGCTTTAGTATTGTATGAAGGAAAGGGTTTAAGGTTTATCAGGTCTTTTTCCAGTTAGATCTTGTTATTAGTGGAATATTGTTTGTTTTGCAACAAAATTATTGCTTCTTAACTATTTTGGAAAAAATTATTGCTTTACATTAAGGTATCTTGTTCTCTCTCCCAGGCTATGGCAAGATGCAATCAGCCGATTCCCTGCAGCACATTCAACAATGATGGTTCAATATTTGCATATGCTGTAAGTTGGATAGTTCCATTTTCTGAATACGTATGAATTTTCACAGGTTCCCTTTTTTGTAATTGCAGATTTGTAGGGATCTCATTGTCTTTTACTAGTTTATTTGTGCTATGATTTTGAAGTTTATATTATGTCTCCTTTTAAAGATTATTATTGAATATGATGGTTATGCTAATGACACATATGGTGTGAATGTTTATTCTGTAAGCCCTCCGTCATTCTTTTCAATTGACAGGGGTCAATGGAGAGCCCTATGTTACCTGCTTCCCTTGCAAATAAGTGAATCACTTATCAGATGGCTAATCCAAACCTTTGAACTGCACTTTGCATTACCCAAAAGTGACTCTACCGACCCCAAATTGCCACCACAACAAAATGCTCTCTGAAACTGAATCTGAACCTTTGGACAAAGCTACTTCAGTAACTGATAATTTCAAGATTACCAACAAGTCAACAACTGGAAATTGTGACCACGTGCACAAACACACGAACACACATATTCAGAGACACATTTTCCAATTACCCAGAATAGTGACCCTGCTGGCCTATAAATGTAACTGGGATGCCAAACTGCAAGCCCATCAAAACAATTCAAGATGACAAGAAGCCAATGTTGTGACCTCTGTGTTCCAAAACTACAGCCCCCTTTCCACAGAAAAACCAACTGTAAACAGGCAAGCTCACATGCACATTTAACTTTTCTGTACATGAACGACATATCGCACTGTACACGTCCAATTAAACTACAAAAGGAAGAGTAAATTACGTACAGACCCGAAATAATTACCTAAAATACGAAATGATCCTAATATAGGCGGAAATTACAAGGAAGGCCGTCAACATGTGTTTTTTTATTTTTCCAAAATTGCCCCTTAGTCCAAGCATTCCATCCTCGGACTGCAGATTAAATTTTTTTATTTTTTATAGTTTTTTCGTTAGTAGGGAAGTGTCCGAAGCCTTAGGGCAGTGACCGAGCTGTCTGAGGTTAGAATCCTCGGACTGTCCTGTGAACACAACAAAACCCCAGTAGAGCGCTCCAAGGTCCCCATCCTTGGACTGCTATTTTCTCAAAAAATAAGAAATAAATTGCGGTTTGACGATGGGGACCTTGGACCGCTGTTTTTCTAAAAAAATAAGAAAACAACGGGCAGTCCAAGGATGGGGACCTTGGACCGCCAAGGAACTGAGGCATGCTCAGTCTAGAGGGTGGTCCAAGGGTTTTAACCTCGAACCGCCTAGGCATTGCCCTTAAATCTTGGGGCACTGCCCTACTAATGAAAAAACTAAAAAAAAAAAAATTTAAATGCGGTCTGAGGATGGCTTCCTTGGACCGAGGGGAAATTTTTTTAAAAATAAAAAAACACGGGTTGATTGACCTTTCTTGTAATTTCCCCCTATAACCAGATCATTTCGTATTTTAGGTAATTATTTCGGGTCCGTACATAAATCACTCTAATGGGGGGAGGGAGCAACGTGGAGGGCCATCTAGCCTCAACGTTATGTAAGAAAAATGCATCGGTTCATCCTAAAATTTGTGGATGGCAACCAGTGACCTTCTGTAGAAAGGAGTTCAGGCAGGTATTACGTTGGAACTTATTTGTTAACTTGGAACAATAATGACATAAGTATCAGAGGCAAAAGAGAAGAGCATGTCTGTTATTAGTCCAAGGAAATATTTAACTTACTTGTCAATTGATCCAAGTTGGACCAGATGAGCTGCAAAATAGTACCTAATTACTTTTGTCTTAGCTATGGCTAAACATCTAGAAAAGAAATCTAAAAACAATCTGCTTACATCAATTGGTGTCTCTTGAATATAGCTACCATTAAACCCCATGTGTTTTGATTTGTCATGAACAACTGCATTAGAAGAAATCCAAATTTCACTCATGGAAAACTGTTTATCAAGCAATCTGAGTAACACTGTCGATGTTCATGGAAGAGATATGGCAAAATTAATCTGCCTTTTGGAAATGTTCGGATGTAGTTTTTGTGAATGCTTGAATTACATAAATGTCTATATTCCGAGTGGATGCCTGGCTTCTACCTTACTTTCGCCTCCCATGATATGCATGCTTATCTAAAGAACATACTGGACCAGAGGTCTATGTAGATATGTTATTGGGATCTATGATAGATAAGAATGCATATCAAGGGAGGCGATCCTTGATAGATATGTTATTGGGATCTCTGGTAGACTGAAATGCATACTTGTCAATTGATCCAAGTTGGAGCAGATGAGCTGCAAAATTGTCCCTAATCACTTTGTCTTAGCTATGGCTAAACATCTAGAAAAGAAGTCTAAAAAGAATCTGCTAAGAAGATAAAGATGAGAAATGCTAAGAATTACATCAAATGGTGTCTCTTGAATATAGCTACCATTAAACCCCATGTGTTTTGATTTGTCATGAACAACTGTATTAGAAGAAATACAAATAGCACTCATGGAAAACTGTTTAGCAAGCAATCTGAGTAACACTGTCAATGTTCATGGAAGAGGCATGGCAGAATTAATTTGCCTTTTCGAAATGTTCAGATGTAGTTTTTGCGAACGCTTGAATTACATAAATGTCTATATTCGAGTGGATGCCTGGCTTCTACCGTACTGTCGCCTCCCATGATATGCATACTTACCTAAAGAACAGACTGGAACAGAGGTCTATATAGATATGTTATTCAGATCTATGAGAGGTAAGTATGCATATCAAGGGAGGTGATCCTTGATAGATATGTTATTAGGATCTCTGGTAGACTGAAATGCATACTTGTCAACCAAATTCAGTTGATCCTTTACTTGCTAAAATTACGTGTTGTGGTATTCAACTGCAACCAAGGCTTTAACATTTGTAACTATCTTTGTGGAATTTTTGTTGGTCTATACCTCAACATTCTTGTTAAGAATTTTGAGCACTTTAGATGCAAACAGAGAAAGGTCTCTATCGTACCGCTAGAATGGCATGGGCACTGACTGCTCAAACATTATTTTTTGATGAAGTTGGCTTATATTGTATCAGGGATACACAGATAATATGAAGCAAGTCAACATTCTTCTAATTGTATTTAAAACTCTTAGTGTAACAGCAATACCATACAAAGGTGTTTTTTCACTTCTAGCGTAAGCAAATTTTAATATAATAAAATCCTGTGGACTACAGAGAAACCGTAATCAGTTGGCTCATCACACTCCTAATTATATGGATGGAGGACAATGTGGATGATAATGATATGGTGGATGGAGAAGAGAGTGGGGCCCACTGTTGGGGGCTGATTTCATTTCCTGCTAAGCCCCACTTTATCATTCTCCATTTCAATCAATCAAATTTGATACAAAAGACAAATATAATGTGACATCTGATACGGATATGAGAAGAAATACCAATCCAAAATTGGCCCTTCAGACATGAGGCATCCACCGTGATTAGAAGCGGCCACATAATGCATTATAAGGTTGCATCAAAGCCGATGTTCCCTTGGATTCACCACATACACCTGTGTATGTGGAATATCAAGATGTGCAAGCATGTGTGGTTCATAACCTCCAGATGTGGCGCATCACCCAAAATTATGTGCCTATGCCCTTTTTATTTTTTGGTGTTTGTGATGTGGGGGGGGGGGGGGGGGGAGGTGGGGGGCGGTGGTGGCATGTGGGTTGTTGAATGAATATAACACCTCAAAACCGCCTTAGAACCATGTTTTCGTAGACCCCTTTAGAGGTGATAAAAGTGTAATACATACTATATTTGGTGCAATAGATATTCTTTTGTGTTATATGTAATTTAATAAATGTGATGGATTTACTTATTGTGGATTAGACTATTAGCGAATAGACAACAAACTTTGTTACTATTTATCAGGCTATGGGCTATCAGCGACTCAGACGATGGATATATTAGAAAAATGTTGATTAAAATGCCTACTGTCCTATAAATCATATATTCATGTTATTCTTTGTATTTGTATGTTTTTTTATAGATTTTGATTTTTTTTTTTAATTTATTAACCTCATCAGAAGTGATGCGTCCGCATTGGGACCACATTGAGCTGCATAATATATTGGTACTGCCTAGCTCATCTTGTCCCCGTCCTGCATTCGAAAACACTGTATATGTTTGTGAACCCTTCTAGATAAGGGGCGAGGTGGGGATTCTAGGTCGCATAAACTACATGTGTGAGATTTGAATAAGCAAGGTTAACAAGTAGCAAGTTTCTAAAGTGACCGACACAGTTGTGTTTGTGGTATGTTGACATGTGCTAGAAATCATGGGACACGTCCATATTACATAGATTGACAGTGATGACTCAATTGACTTTGTCCATAGTCCAATGGGTTATAGATGTTTGCTTGAAAGTTGCATTCTATCTTTATAAAGAAAGGGACAAAAAATTAGAAAGCAATCAAATACTCCATTTTTAGGCTTTTTATTTATAATTTAGGTACATCTATCCTAGAACACTGTAAATGCTCTCTGTCAATCATATCTGATAACATGGAATTAAATCAGAAAACGCTGATTCCTTGATTACACTAGTTTACAATGGACAGAGTAAAGGAAAAATAATATGGTTTCATGAAAGTCTCAGCTTTTTTCTGAATTTCAAACTTCAAAAGAGCTGCGATAGTTACAGGTGGTTAAGAGAGTGGGCATTTTCCCCCAACCACTACTTACAACTAGTTTGATATCATTAAACACATGTAATAAAGTATCAAAGTATGGTTTAGACCTTTGAGGGCATAACTGTGTCATTTTAATGCTATTTGTTTTAACCTCAGTTAAGTATGAATTTTAAGCTTTTTTTTCAAAATTTTCTTTTCTGTTATCCTCATTTGATGCATTTTTTGTATAGATGAATGTATTTTGATATTTTTGGACTCAATTTTATCAAAATTTTTACCCGGGATTTCAAGTTTAATAAAGAATCTCAGTTGTTGCCACCATTCAGCCTTTCCTTACTGAAGAGACTCTGATTCCAACACAAATCTCTGGTTTACTTCCAGAATTTGAATCCTAAAATAAAATTTGACCTTTTTGGTTGTAGTTGGATCTCTCTCAGATATATGTTATTACCCAGACTATCATCTTTTTAATCATATGCTCGAACTCGTTGCAGAGCTCTTTTCTTGGATCTCATGATTGTATAATCACGTGAAGCCATGCCCTTGGTTACAGTTAAGATTATTTGAGTCGAGGGTGATCCAAAAACACCCCAAATAATAGTAACTTTTTTTATTAATTTATTCTTGCTGTGACACCATTGTTCCAGATAATCATTGTTGTACACATGCATGCATGTACCAAATGCAATTCTTTACATGGAGCTTCTTAATTGTTACACTGCCTCATATGTGGTCTGTACAGGTTTGCTATGACTGGAGTAAGGGAGCAGAAAATCATAACCCTGCAACAGCTAAAACCAACATTTTCCTCCATACTCCACAGGTCAGTTAATATATGGAAATTCTCTCTTTTTCTTATAGTGGGGCATGTCAATATGTCTTGTAGCTTGCGGTTTTTATGGAAAAACATGATAATTAGTGTTTTAAAATGATATTTACTTTTTTAAATGTATTATGCTTTTGGGTGTGTGTGTGTGTGCACATATGCACGTATATGTGAAAGGTCTTTCCATCTGTTTTAATGGTTGTCAGTTTTATTGAGAGCAGGAATCAGAGGTCAAAGGAAAGCCACGAGTCGCAAGTGGAAGGAAGTGATTTTTCTCAAGACTTTGTACTGTAAATTTTTTAATTTTTTTGACTCAAATATACCAAGATCAGTTTTTGGGGTGGTTCGAATTAGGGTCTCTCTTTCTTTCTAATATAGTGATTTTCTCAAGACTTTGTACTGTATATTTTTTTATTTTTTTGACTCAAATCTACCAAGATGAGTTTTTTGGGTGGTTCGAATCATGGTCTCTCTTTCTAGTATGGTGATTTTCTCAAGACTTTGTGCTGTAGAATTTTTATTTTTTGACTCAAATCTACTAAGATCAGTTTTTTGGATGGTTGGAGTCATTATCTCTCTCTCTCTCTCTCTCTCTCAATGCATGCATGCAGAGTGAGGAGATATTTGTGTTGTTTCTCCAATTTTTTTAACCCACTATTCCCACTCACAATGCATTCGTTGTTCTTATGTATAACCAACTTGGGGGACAGTTGTGCGATGAATGATCAAACCTTGAATATCACCTTGTAAACTTTCTACAAAGTTACAGTTTGGTTGCATTGAAAGGCTTTGGATATTTCGTGCATTTTTTTAAAAGAAAAAGTAGGTTCCCCTACTTACTTAAGACAATAAGATTATTTTTTTGCCTAGGGAAATTTACGGAAAAAGGTGTTCTATTATTAAAAATTTAAAAATAGTAATTTATTTTATATTTTTAATTTGAGTTTTACTTTTGTGAGTGTTGTATTCTAATTTTATTTTATTTTCTATATATTGGATTCAGCTCCAATTTGGGAGTTGATTTTTCTTATCATCACACAATTTTAAAATATTTTAAAACACATAAAACGACTACAAAGTTTATTTTGATCATTTTAGTTAAATTTTATTTATTTATATTATTTTTTACATGTTTATTATGGTAATAGATATGGATGCTCAAAATTCAAGCTCACTAAGATATTTAGAGAAATAAAATTAAACTTAAAATATACTATGATGTACTATAAAAAAGTAGGGCTTTAATTGTAAAATATAAAATATGATGAATATTTTTAAATTTAGAAAATAAAAAAGGATTGTTTTGTTAATTTCCCTTATGCATATTTTATCATTTCCATAACAATAAAAGTTTAGAACAGTACGCTCTGAGACCATTTATTTTATCTTTATTACAAGATATTTTTAGCTATTAGTAGATTGGACGGTTTAGGGTGTGATACGAAGTCCAAGAAATTATTTTCTGAACTCTGAATCTAGTTAAAGACACGCAACTACTTGATTTGAAATGTGTAATCCATGTAATAGATGTAAAAGAAGAAATGAAACAATAATTCCCAAATTTGGCACGTAAATTCTTTTGGATCCTATAGAGAAGCCTATTAAAAAGAATTTCGAAATAAAAAAAGAATTTGGGAAAGCTACAACAAATTCTTTTTCGTTGAACACGTTGAGCAAAGGCTTTCCATTTCATGAGTAGTTGGATTGAGGTCTTCAACAAATTCTTTTTCGTTGAACACGTTGAGCAAAGGTTTTCCATTTCATGAGTTGTTGGATTGAGGTCTTCAAGAACTCATGATTCATTTTTATCATTTTTAAATTTTTTTATTTCTTGAAAATGAAGCAATGTACATAATTTTAGATCAAAAGAAGTCCACATGATTCTCCAAGCTAAAAATATTATTTTTTTCTTTTCTAGAGTGGCGAGCTCGTTTTTTCATTGTTTTCTCTCATCTTAAAGATTTAAATGTTTTTCTCCTTTACTTTTCTTAGAGGAGCACAATACACTTTTCTTTCACGCCAAATATTTTTTCTCATTCTTTTGAAATATTGGGATCCACTATAAAATGTCATATGTTTATTTTAGATAAAATTTATTTTTTTAAGGTGATATTGTTTACGAAAAACCATTTATTTTTTGTACATAGTGGTCACAATTATTATAATATTTCAAAAAAAATGGATGGTTTCTATTCAATCTTGACACATTTGTGTTTGGAGGGCGCAATTAGGAAATTTCTTTTAATGATGTTAATCTATCTGTTAAAGAGGTTATATTCCTAAAATTTGAGGTCCTAAAATTAATCTTAGATGGGGTTTTACTCGGGGAGTAAATGGCAAGTGTACTCCGGAGGGAGTAGAATATTTTTGGCTTCTGTTGGACTAATTTTCTTGATGTTATCGATATTTTAAAAGATAATATGCCACTTCCTAAATTTTTAGATTTTCTAAATATATATTTGAGTCTAAATCCTCATACGAAAGAGCTATTTTTAGTGAATTTTTAAATTTCTCTCAATTACTTTAATTTTTTTTATTTGTGTATAAAATTAATGAATATGATGGCACCTTTTCAATTTAGCAATATAGAATTGTTCTTATGTGAAAAATAATTCATGAGTTTAAAAAGCGAAAAGTTGGGTCATTGTTTATAGTATTGATTGGTTGTGCTTTTGCCATGGACTTGCTGTGCACCAGTAATTCTTCGTAAACTTATTCCGGGGATCACCTTTGAAATTTGGCCCAACATTCTTCATTAAAAATTCCATGGAGTGACCTCACAGTCTGCCATACAAATGAAATCTGAAAATAGGAGATATGAAGATATTATTATTTTTTTTTTTTTTTTGAGGTGAGAGAAATTTTTTTTATTCAAATAGAATTTTTGAATCATCAATAGTTCACCTTGTGAACAATTTAGAGAAAAGGAACAAAAGAAAACTAATTTTGTCTCTTAAACCCCATAATTGATCATAGATGGAGGTCCAAAGTCAATATTGCATGGAAAAAGTTTATATAAGGTTGCAGCCTTATACCGTGGAAATGAGGTGTACCTCAAAAATCTAGTAGAAAAGGGTACTCCGAAATTGTAAAGCCTTCCAATTGATCATCTCAACTTTGAAATATATGGATATAAAGGAAAAAAAGAATTTTAAGCTTTAAAAATAGTGCATCTTGTAACAAGTTATCTGAACAGTCTATTTTCAATATTTTTAAGTGTTTGTAGATATTTTTAAATTTTAAATTTCATAAGCTTTCACAACTTGATGTGTATTATTTTTAAATTTTTAATTTCATAATTAAGGCTGAATATGGATTTTCAAACCATCATAAGGTGTTGGACACCGAAATTATATCTTTGGGAAAAATTTAGAGAAGTGCCTTATTTGTATAGTATAAGGTGCACACCTTGTACAAACCTCACCCATATCACATATGGAGCTCGTTTAAACAATTTCTAAAATCCCTATCATTTTAAAACAAAAAAAAAATTAGATGGATAAAAATGATTTCATCTTTGAGGTCAAAGGAACATCTAACATGGCGGTTTTGCAGTGGGTTTCAGTGTGCAAATTGGTCCCCTCGAGACCACTAAATCTTTTCCCCCCCATGTGATTAGACAACTTCATCAAGTTATTGTATTTGATATTAATACGGTTCTTCCACAAAGTATTTTTCCAAGACGAATGTGATCCTCAAAATGTTATGTGATAATTAAGAACAATAATTTGATCCGAGCTATGGACCACGAGAAAAAAAACTTTTTGCTTCCCATTTTTGCTTCTAAATGAAATTAGTCCCCAAACACACCATTCTTATTGACAAAAAAATGAAAAGAATCTATGTATCCTAACCCAAATCATGAAACGAAGCACTCGAACTAAATCGAAGAAGAAAAAACTGTGGCAAAATCAGTTGGACTCAATTTTATATAATCACAAATTGAATATAGATGCACACAGTTCGGATTCTGCTTTTTGTAGTGACATGAAGTCTTCATCTCTTACAACAAATAAATAACGATGACAAGAATAGAATTCGTGATATCTTTGTGTTGTTTAGTCTGAGCGCAAACTATGTCGGCACGTTGGACATGACAGATTGTGCTCGAGCAAGTTTCTTATCTATTCTTCATGATATTGATGCATGTACTCGAGCCCGTTGGTTATGCATTCTTCATGATATTGATGCAGACAAGGCATGTCTCTCACATTGCTGCCGCCATTGCTCAGCTGGGATTAACATGAAGTGCTTAGGCTGCAACAAATATATAATATGCTACGAGATTACCTATATTAGGCAGCGAAGGGTATAATTCGTGGTTTTTGGCATAGCAGGGAGATGACATCTTCTAAGGTTAATATGTTTTGGGCAGTGGAAAGGATGGAACATCTTGTATGCTTTATTGTTAAGGATATTCGAGATCGAATCGAAGGCTTTAGGACAATCTGTTCCTGAACTTGTCTCTGCCGCGATTCTTTCACTGATGACGAGGTGCACGTTTTCACAGGGTGGGTTGCAGGTCAGTGAGTGATAGGCCAATATCTTTGGAAGTGGCCGCGGTGGCTGGGTGGCAGTTCAGAAGCGTCGTGAAAGAGGAAGACATGGTGCTGCATTGAACAAGAGAGAGAAACAATGAGAAATGGGATTGATAAGATAGAAGAAACAAGGAAAGCTGGATAAGGATTGTCTTAAACTTGAAAAGAAAGAAAGTAATAAGAGGAGGGAGAGTACCTGCGTATGTATCTTTCTTTCCTGATATGTAGACTTCATTTTCTTGATATCTTGATTTGGTTTATATGATAAGGACAAGATAAATATAAATTAACATTCTTGATATCAGATGTGGTTTACATGATAAACAAAAATTATGGTTTTGAGAGAAAAAGATGGGTTTCTTGTTTCTTGAGTTTTTTTTTCCTTGTTGAGAGAGAGAAAGAGGTGTCTTCACTTTTGATGAGAGAGAGGCGTGAGTGATATTTTCTTCTCTCTTTCTTGTTACGTAAGAGAGATGATAAGATCACACTAAAATATAGCGTTTTGAAAGAGAGATCCGAATAGGGACACCTCGTAAATTTGAATTGAGATTATGGGTAATTTAAATATGGATATAAAATAATGAGTAAACTAGGTACGTACCCAAAACAATTATGAAAAATGTCAAATGATCCGATTATATTTGAAAATTTCAAAGAAAGTTGGTCAATTCGTAATTTTTTTTTTCTCAAAATTGCCATCCTTGAACGGCATTTATTTATTTTTTTTGAAAAATACCAAATGATCCAGTTATATTTGAAAATTACAAGAAAAATTGGTCAACCCGAAATTTTTTTTTCTCAAAATTTCTATCCTTGAACCTGCAATTAAATTTTTTTTTCTCAAACCTTAAATCTTATTCTTTTTTTTTTTGGGTGGGGTGGGTAAGAAATTTTTTATTTAAATAGAATTTTTGAATTATCTGCTAAGAATAATAATTTAGTGATTTACACACAGAAATTCAAATAAAAATAGGTTCGAGGATGTCCTCAGACAAAGGGGCACTTTTGAAAAAAAAAAA